AACAAGTAGAGACATTACCCATGCCAAGTGAAATAATTATTGTGTGAGCAAAGCGATACGTAATGGTGCATTAGTCTTGAAACAACAGAAGGAGTTTGTACAAGTAGGGTTACGTTGTACTTTTAGGGGTTTATTCCAAGAATGGAATCCCGTCACAAATTCAACTTGGTTATTACATATGCTTGTTTGCAGGTAGATGGATAAATGCCAAATCAAGGAAAATGACTTCCGTGGTGTACTTTTACGACTGTACCCATCTTTAAATTAGACAAGGTCACGTCTACCCTATCATAAGAAAAAAAAAATAATACTTTAATAAAGTCGTTACATCAATGAGGTTCTGTGTAATATCTGACAAGGTTAATTTCGTTGCTGATAAATTATTTAGCATCGTTTCTGAATGTAGGTTTAGCTTGAAACTTTCGTTACTTCACTTACTATTCACCCAGCAGTTCTTTGCCATTCAAATCTGCAATGGCATCATCAGCATCTCGATAATCATCAAACTCCTGTGAAGAAAAGTCATCACATCCAAAAATTCAGTCTTTACATGCACGTACTCAGCTTCCTTCTACAACGACGAACAAATTGGCTTTCTCTTACCACAAATCCGTATCCTCTCTTCAAGCTTATGTCTCTTACTTTACCGTATCCTCGAAGGAATCTTTCCACATCACTTTCTCGGGCATTCATTGCCAATCTGCCGATGAAAACACGAGTCATTCTGCAAGAAAAGATTGATTCTTCACCGTCGTACTGCCTCGTGCGCGAATTAAGTGAAGATGTCAAATTTATGCAAGATGCCATATCACGTGACGACTCATGTGACAATTCACACTCCAAATAAAAACGCCCGGATGACTTCCCGGATGTTTTAGTTTTGTTTTGTCTTTTTTAAAATTCAGTCTTAATTTCCTCTTCTACTTCTTCTTCTCCCCCTTCTTTTTTTATTCAAGAAATTATGCTTTTTTTTTTTTACTTCACGGCTGAAAATTAAGACGTTGCATTCAGCAATTGTGATAAGGTCCAGTAGCATCTGATTCCATACAAGAGTAGAACTTTCTTTCCTATTGCCACATCCAATCGGATATTCACAGGGACTGAATAATGGATCCAACTGCTGGACGAAAACGAAAAGTAACACCCAAAAGTTAACAAAAGAAACCACCTTCGGCACGATTTTTTTTGATGTTGTTAAGTTTAATTTGTTCCCGCTTTTATTAAATGTTGATGAACGTTTTTACGGTATCATTTTTCCAGAGTAATATTAGTTAATGGTTGGTAGCCCTATAAATATCCCCTAAATTGCGGCAAATTATGTCAAGTTGTCCAAGTGCCCGACATTTAATTCGACCTTCATCATGTTATGAATTTTACGAAAATACAAGCAACAAAGGCACCTAGCTCTCTCTAAGTATTCGAGAAGGGGTAACCCGTTTGATCACGATGAAACGAAGCTTCACCTATAAAGTTCGACAATCAAATATTTCTGTTCAACGGTTTCACAAAACTGGTGAGCTGTACTGTGTCGATTATTAAATTCAAGCCAATCAACGAAAATTGTTGGCTCTCAAAAAGGGATTAATTTAGTATTCAAGTTGCATGTTACTAACTTCCTAGGGCAAAAAAGATGATATCAATTCTGAAAGGCACGTACTGGAGACCCAAAATGCAAAAATGATTGGTGATGGGTCAGAATCACAGAGGTTTATTTACATACGAACCCAGAGTATTTTAATCATTTTTCCTTACTACGAAGCACTTTCTCAACAACTATGATGTAGGATCGACACATTTCCGTTCTACTCGAAGTAACACGATATTTTGTCGCCATCAATATGAATACACATGACGTACCCTTTCCGGCATTCCAGTCGAAACTAAAGGTAAACTACTTCACGATGAGTCACGATTTTTTTCCCATAAATAATTTAACAACTGCAGCAGAGAGATTAGTAGAAACATTTTTTTTTTTAGGTGAGCCATGCCGTAAAAAAAATATCCCTTCTAAAATAATTTGGAAAAGGAATGACGGGTTAGAACCGTCTGCTTTACTAAACTGACTGCTAAAAGTTCGATCAATTGGGAGTTCGTCCTTGATAATAAATGAATCAATTTTGTGTCCAAACTGAAAGGCTTGAGGCAATTAAATTTGATGTCAATAAATAAAACTAACCTTGTTTGATGATGTTTTTAATTTTGAACAGGGAGGAGAAAATTGATTTAAAGTAAAACAGAAAAAATTGAACTGTGATAATGATAATTATCTGCTTGGTCATCACATTTTCGAAACAATAACACGATGACAGACGCCTCAACGCCGGTGAAGCCTGTAAATTTGTGATTGAGCCGGGTATAGCCGGAAAAAAAACAACACCAAACCTTTCTATGTCAATATACACAGTTGAAGAATTGTCTGGGAAATTATTTCCCTTCAGTAGTGAACAGCACGAGATGGCACGTGATGTGGACAAATTTGCAGTTTTAGCATGGATAAAATACACTCCACGCGACAAAATAAAATCATGGCGCCGGAGGAAATGTAGCCATAGGACTCCCACAGACACACACCCGAAACTGAAAGCATATTAATTAAGGTCATTTACGAATCAAAACAATTTTCGTAATCACATGCAAGAAATGCAAGCTAATTTTTAAAAGCGGGGTGTTTTTGGAACATTTGAAAACTGAGGTGTAGAACTCTTTATTTACCCGCGAACATGGTCAATAACATGTAAATTACTTTCAACGGTAGACGAGCCATGACAAATCTAGAGGGATTAGCGAATTTACGTGAGTATTTTCGTTTCTGAAGAGGTTGACATGGAGTGTTTACAAAATGTTTGCGACTTTGTGGCGCTCAGTATTTATGTTGTCACAATAAAATTGGATGCAAAGTTGACTACTTCGGTTTTACTCCCAGCAGTTTTGGCGCCAAACTTTCGCCGAGAAACAATAGTCCGGTAACATTGGTTTACATTAGAAAGAGCTGAAAAGCTTGACTCTCACGTGAAGGTCACTGATGTTGTAACAAGTGTCACTATGAACTCGATCAGAAAACAAATTGCTTCAAACTAGCCTGGAGGCAGGTAGCAGTGATATACGCAGAGAACTCCAACAGGTGTGTTGAGCGAAATATTCATATCCAATTTTTTAAAAGTAGTTTTTTTTTTTACCTACCGTAACTTCATTACGATAGTTAAAAAAAGATTGGACATTTCACGGCCCAACATTTGATTTTAAGCTTCCCCAGTTCGTTTCCTTTGTAAAAACTGGCAAGTTGAAGTAAGCTTTACAATAAGAAAGTTTTGCTTTCCTGGAAGATTAGAATCTAGTTGGTTTCACTTTTCCAAATCAAGTTTGCTGTTTTCTTGAACTTCTGATATCGAATTTCTTTTCCAAAAATGTAGATAATATCCAAAACAATCGATCTTTGTTTTCAAATGTGAAAATCACGTGACAAATCTTTGTGACAAAGTTAAAAGAGAGAACGTGTACGACCTTGGCCCAAGAGGGCGTGTTCTCTCCGTGTATGTTTTATGATTATTTTACAACCTGTTTCCACGACAAGGTAAACTTTAATAAAATTATTTCACGTACACACAGGCAGAGTTCACGACACATTTCTTCATCAACACCGAGGAGCATCCTATAGCATAACACACAAAAATAATAAAATACACAAACAAATGTATTTTTTTGACCAGTCTGAAATAAGCGCGTAGTAGGTCTACCTCAGTTAAGCAATATTATCTTGAAAATGACGAATCTGACTTTATCCGAGCCCTGAGTCATAGTCACTTAGAGATTTTTAATCCGTGAACTTTCTAATGTAATGAAAATTTCATGGATTTTATCATTGACGCACAACTTACTACGTAAAGGGTTAAGCGGCCTTTCATTACATATGTATTTCACTTTCTGACACGACTTCATAACTGACTTTCTCAAAGACGGACTACTACAATTTTTTTTCGTCATTTTTCTTATCAGAGAACCGAGGTGTCAGAAAAGTGCTTGGTATAAGCAGATATTCCAACACATCTAAAATGCTCACAGAAGGAAACAAACGCAACTCTGGAGACGAATCCTCTGGAAGTGATATGCAAGTTGAACAAACATCAACGAGAGAAGTTGGAAGATTACTTGCTAACATTGGAGACAATTTGAATCAAGCAGTGCGAGCTCAAAGGAGTGAAAACAGGGAGCCAGTTATTCAGGTTTTTCAGCTGGCAAATTTTGGAGGCGTCAACATGTCCTTTCTCATACCAATACACGATTCATTTCAGTACGTGACAGATGTTTCACTGCTTGTGTTTATAATTAGTTTTTACACCAGTAGGAGGTTCGTCCGAGTACGAGATTCTTAGAAAGAAACGTGACAACAGAGTTACATTGATAATATAAAACTCCAGTTAGTAACGCTTGGATAACTATTAAAAGAGAGCCCAGTTTTTGTCGAACTTATGAAAATAGAATTGATTTTCATTCTACTTGACGTCTGAAAAACGGTTCTGCCTGTTGAAACGAGAATCAACTAGAACTCATCTCGTACCGACATTACTCGTACTGGTGTAAAGCATTCGCAGTGAGACCGCTCTGAGCCGTGAAGAAATTATACTACAGCCCAGAAGCACTGAGGTGAATACCGCTGGTTTTATATTATTCTACCACCTTTTACACTTATGCGTGAGAAAATTTATGTTTTGTGGATGAAGTGAACCACGAAAATCGAGAAGGAATTTATTTCAAGACATCTGGCAAGGAAGCCCTTTGAACAAACTCTACCACGACTTAATCGCAAGAAATGGCGGTGAACTGATTTTTACGAAGAAGTCGAGGGAAAAGTTTACTGCTGAGGAAGTGACTGATTCACAAGATGTTGATAAGATGAGGAAAATCCAGAGGAACCGTCATGCTAAATAATTTATTTATTTCACAGATGTAAATTATTATGATAGAGACGATACTGGACTAATTAGCTTAAAAATAATGTTAACTTACATACGGAGTGACTTTGTAGATATTTAATTTTACGATCTAGCTGACAATTAGCAAAAAAAAAAAAAAAAAAAAAGAAAAAAAGAGGAAGCGAGCTTATTGCTTATGTTTTGTACCAAGAAGGGGAAAATGTTCTTTGTGGCGAAAAAAGTGATTGTTCATACTGTAAAAAACAAAACATGCTAAAATTAGCCATGATGTTCTATCAAATAAAATCTCAAAGGTTTCATTGTACATTCTTTCGTATGAATTAATTTCCTACGGAAAGTGAATACTCAATATTTTAAATCCGATTTATTTAGGCGGCTATGACCATATTTCTGAAACTCAACTTGCGTAGGTTTGGCAACGAACAATTCAAACAGAAATACTGAATTAAACTTTCCCCTGACATGCCTTGATTCGATTTATCGATAAAAAAAATTATGACAAGCTGAATGTTTTCGTCATTCTGCGGAATACTTGAAAGTTCTTTGTTTCCGTTCTACCTTACAGGTATCAAAAAGTTGTGAAAGGCAAAATTCGATCATTTACCTATATTGAGTACTTCCGAATTGAACACTACATCAATGTCAGTCTTACCTCAGAGGCGACAGAGAACACTCGATTACAAATGCGTTAATCCAGCTTTACTTTTTGCTTTAAGATTGGCTAAACCGGTCTCTCATAGGATAAACATTTTCAAAGCAGTTCGATTTTTTATTAGAAATATCACTCTTATTAAAGCACCTCTTATACAATTTCCTCTTGCCAAATCTGTAGCGCAAATTAATTGCAAGTCTCGCGTGACACCCCCGTGACAAACTGACATGGTTATGGGAGGGAATGAACGACCCTAATACTGCTTTGGTACTGCAAGTCAAGACAAAGAAACCAGCAAATAGGTAAGTGAGTATAACGAGAGGACATACAAATTACTTTGATTTTAATCGCGAGTTGAACTAAGCCATCTAAAATGTGCTTCGGGTAAAGTTCTGAGCAATATTGCGACAAAATGCGCCCATTAGAATCGATTACGTAACATCGCTAGACTAGGACAGGGCCAAAGTTACAATATTCCCTTTGGGCAAGTAACTGATCAGGATTAGATAAATAATCTCGATTATCAGGTTACATCAGTTGAGTTTCTGCTGACATTAAGTTCCAAGGTATTCGCTAGCTGGCCCAGGCCTGAAGATGACTGAAAAACAGGTGCATGACAAGCTTGAACAAATCAGGTGAACACTTCATTCCTCGTGACACTTTGTTTCGTTACTCTAGATCTACGAGTAACACAACCATCGATTCCTGCTAAGTTGTCTTCGTTACGTGAGGAAACTCAAAGGGCACATGGTGTTTTAGAAACATTCGCAGCACTCGCAGGCTCGATGTTTTTCACCTTGTATGGAGCGATTGAGTGCACTCTGAGCGTAGGCATCGTGATCAAGTTAGCGGCAAAGTTTATAAGGACAGAATGGGAACAGAGCCACCTCTACTGGTGATCATGTGAGAGGTGTTTGAGTGGAAACATAATGCACCTTTTGTGTTTATTTACAGAGCGATTGAGTCTAAATAAAACAGAAGCCTTGTAGTTTTAGAAATTTGAATTGATTTAATGATCATAGAGCGTAAGCTTTGTGAATGAAGTACACTGTAATTATGAACAAAGTGTAAGCTTTTTGAAAAGTAAACAATTACTGAATCAACCAAAGCATAAGATTTTTTCAAAATTCTTTTTACAATATTATTAAGTAGTCTGACTCGATCAGTCAGTGAGCCTCTTTTGAGTTCTCTTATAAAACTTCTTTTAAAGTGCACCCTCTCTCGGCCCTACCTCACCCCCCTCCCCTTGTGTGACAATATCTATTATTCGTGAGGATAAACAAAGTGGAAATAAAAAAAAAAAGTGAGATTTTTCAGGAAAAGTTTATTTGACTAAATAATTGTACAATATTTCTCTTTCCTTGCAAACTAGGCCTGAGTTTCTTTTTTTTTTTTTTTACTTTAAACCTCTTCTCTTGGTCATTAATCTCATAATGATGATGGACTCCATGGACTGAAACCAACTTAAGTTATAAGTTATACTGAAATCGCAAAAGATTATTAAGTGCATTTATATTGAATCAAGAAAAGTCGACGCCAACGAGCTGCTTTTGTTTTTTATAATAATCGCAAGATAGTGGATAAGACCCGAGAAATGAAACTTAAAATAATTAATTTGTCATCATTCGTTGTCCATGGAAAACATATTTCAAGGCACCCTTAATCAACGCTCACATCATTTTTGTCCCTTAAATCACAAAAAGATAAAGTTAACTTGCTAAATTTAAGAGTAGTTATTCAAAATACGAGTCAGTACGTAACTGAATAGCAAGAAAGAAAATAACCTCTTATAATGCAGAAGTTTAGGTGCAGCAAATGTTTCTCTAAAAATTATTCTGGACCATCGATAATGTTTGTAAAGATCTTCATAAAAGTGACAAATTTGTACTGTGGACCGTAAGGCAAGGGGACAGCTTTTCTTGGATCAGTGATCTTGTTTCCCTTTCCGTCCTTGTCAGTCACAGCAGTTTGTCCAGGCTTCTGGGACCAAAATCCACCCCCATCCAATCGATAACAATGAAAATCTACCTCTGAAAAATATAGAAGCAGTGGTGGAAAAGAAAACTACGTGAGACAATTTGCGTTAGCTCCAAATCATCGATATCTGATGTGGTATAAAAATAAAATTGTAAAAATGACTTATTACAAATTACAGGGAGGAGATATTTTTTGGGTGGGAAGAGAGAAGTCCGAGAATCATCAAATTCATAACTTGGAATTATGTCAGATTTTGTACAAACTCTTTTATGTTCATGAGCTTGTAAAATTTATAGTCAGGGGAAACTTACGCGTCCACTTGATACAGCATTTGTGCCAAAGTGGACTTGATTTTGCTAGAGGCGATCACCCATATTGAGTCCTTTCGATACAGGTGGCACCGTAATTCATAACAACTTACAAAAAAAAGGAAGCATTTGTAAAGGAAAAGAACGTTCAAATTGTAATGACACTGATAAACGCTATTATTTTTCAAGTTTCTTAATTTGTTTTAGAGAGAGCATAAGGGGGGCTCTGGTACCTTGTACGATCCTCATTCTTTTTTTTATTGCCATTTTTTTTAGGAAGCTCAGCAAATCAGGATTTGTTTCTTACCTTCTTGGACCATCAATGCAATTAGGCAGTTTGGCTGTGGTGGTGCTTCAGGCACAGGCGCACTCGGATCCACATCCATCTTCACCAAACCATCACTCTCACAGCCCTCGAGGGTTTTGGCTGCAGTAAGAGGCGGTGTAATAGGATGGCCGCTGGCATAGCCAGGCTGGGCAAAGGTGTTGGTGATTTTTTGGTTTGCGTAGTTGTAGCAGTTGTTATAGGGCTGGACACATTGGTTATTCCACCTTTTCGGATTATATTTAGGTGCATAATGCTGTATCACATCGACGTCTACTTTGCCGCCTCCAGTACTGGGAGCGTGCGAACGAGACACATTCAAGTTAGGAGAGACAGCTCCTGAATCGATGGCCTGCAGAATCCTTTGGTGCAAGTCTTTTTTTATCAATCCTTCTGGCATGGTACTAAGCAGCAGCTTTTGAAGGGCAGTTGTCTCCTTGCCTAGCATCAATTCTGCATGTTCAGCTCCTGGTTCATGTATCAAAAAACCTTTGTATCCAAGAATGGCAGGCATATTTTGGTGACGGTAAGCGACACCTTTGGCCCTAGCGTCGTCGAGAAGCTGTTTCATTTCCTCGAAATTTCCATGATGAGAGTGAACTGACCAAATAGGATCAGGAACACCACTGTACACCACTAAAGTCACCTTGTATTCTCCTGTAGTTACGGGAAAGAAATAAGTTTCCTCTTCCTAAGCATGGCTAAACGTTTACGAATACGCTCGGATAACCTCAGTCTCCTCTTAGGACAATGAGATTTGGAAGATAAAAAGCCAAGAAACTTTAAAACGAATATTTACTCGGAAAAACACCTAAAATCCGGCATAATCTTAACTTAACATTAAATTTGTTTTCAAATACATCACACAAATTCACGAATCATGTCTGAAATTCCCAGAACACAAGATTGCTCAGTTTCTAGGAAAGAGTTGCGAAATACGATCAAGAATGTAGATCTTAACCTCACCAAAACTCAGTTTAAAAAGAAGAACTGAAACAATGAATCGTACTGAAGATACAACATCCTCAAGGCTTACCCTCCATATTTGTACGATTTATATTGCTGATCGAGGCGGAAGTTCCTCGTCGGAAAGCGTTGTCTCTTTCAAAGCTCACCTTATGAACTGATAACTCTGCTGATCAAAGCGTCCTTATATATCATTTGCTGTGTCATCGCTAAGGTTTTCCGAATTATTTTAATTGGAAGTATGCCACTTGTGAGTGGCGTGAGTTTCCAGGAAGGGTGAACGCTGCCTCGACGTATTTTGTTCAAAATGAATCAGCTGATCAACTGTTTTGATTTTTTTTGTCTTTCCACTTGATTACGACCGGGGGAGGCACTCCACATAATTTTCTGCCGTAGTATTTACCCAACATCTACCCA